TCCTCCTCCTCCTCTTCTTTGCCTTCTTCCTCCTGTTCGTCACTTCTTCTTCTCCTTCTCCTTCTTTCTTCTTCTTCTTCTTCATTGGGGGTAAGTAACTTGCTCAGGGGTCGCGTGGCTAGTAAGTGTCTAAGGTCAGATTTGAACTCAGGTCCTCCTGACTCCAGGGCCAGTGCTCTATCCACTGAACCACCTAGCTGCCCTAACCGTATTTTTTAATGACTATTTTTCTCATATTGAGAACTAAATGCCATTGTCCAACTTGTAGATTCTTTATTTTTGTGTTGGCAGAACTTATATTAGTTTTTTAGCAACTACTAAAATTATGGTTAGTTCCTGAATTTGGGGAATGAATGGTTTTTGCCATCTACAATAACTAGCTTTTACACAAACACCCCACATCCATGTGAATTTTCTTTCTCATCATTTTTTTCTTTATTCAATGATACCTGTATTGACCTTAGTTTCCTTAATGTTAAATCAATGCATCTAGAATGAGTGGTTTTTAAAATAATTATTTTCTTTTTTCCATTCTGCATTTATAGACACTAAGAGGACAGCTTCATTTAGAGGTTCTGCTGATACATAAAACTTAGTGTATAAAACCCAAGCTAATCAACTTCCCCAGTAGGATCATAGTCTTGGAGGTTAATTACCAACTCTTATCTTCCTTTAACCTCTTACACCTTGTCACATCCTGTCAATTCATTTTATATAACATCTCCCAGAACTGTCCATTCCTTGTTTATTTCCAGTTACCACACTAGTCTGAACTCTCCTCATCTGAGCTCCTAGCTGATCTTATTGCTTTCTTTTGCTTTTCTTTTAATTTGTGCCAGTTATAGCTACTAAAATAATCTTCTACAGAGACTGTTTTCATCATGTCACTCTCCTATTCTGCTAAAGAAAGCAGAATGTGTCCCTGCTGCACATCATGTGGAATTCACTCGTGGAAGCTTGACTTTCCAGGTTTCCCATTAGTTCTCCATTAGGCTTCTCTGATTCTCCAATCCTATTGCTCCACACCACTCCCGCATAATTTACTTATCCCCTTCTTTTTGACCTGGCACATTTCCCTCACTAGTAAAACTTTCAATTCGTTCACTAGCAAACCTCACACCGTTAAAATCCTGACTTTAAACTCACTTTTTCCAAAAAGCTTTCCCTGATTAACTTTACCTGATTAGAATGACTCTCTCTGTACATCCTTTTAGAACTTACATACTTATTTGGAAATATTTCCATTTTTACTTCAAGCATATTGCTTTTCAAGTGCCTTTCGGAAATTTACCTTGAACATGTTTTTGCAGACTGTGTCTCTTGGCCGAGAAGATACACTGTTTGAGGCCAGAGGATATTTTCTATTTTTTCTCCCCCGGCATACGATCATAGAACCTTAGCGGTCATTGAGTCCAACACTTTTATTTGGTAGAAGAGGAAACGTAGTCCAAAGAAATGACTTGCCCAAGGTCACGCAGGTTAAGTAAGTGGTGGAAGCTGGATTCAAACTCAGGTTCTCTGATTCCAAATTCTGGGCTCTTTCCACTGTAGCACACTATCTCCCTCAATGCTTAAGAAGTCTTCAATTCCCCCACTATTATAACCCTTCCACAATTTTAAGAGTTATCATAGCTGAGAAATTAATGGCTCTGTGTTTAACATAGGGATGAAGCTCTCTGCATATAGCTAGACTGGTCCTCAGGTAACAGAGTCTGTCCCCCAGCCTGTATTCAAAGCCTTTCCAGCATGACGAGATCTATCATAGTTTGTGCTCTGTTAGTTCAGCTTCGCAGAACTGAGGGCTACCTCCATGCCATGATTAAGAAGAAAAGAAGGAGCTGAGCATAGAAAATAACAACATAGCACCTAGTAAATTGTTCTGCGTATGCTAAGTATAGATGAAATGTTTTTGCATGACTTTAATACCTAAAAGTAAATATTAACAATAGGATAATGCTCTTCTATACATGTTGTATAGAAGCTCTATTTAGGTAAAAAATAAAATTAAGCCCAACCAGCTAAATATGAACATTTCCCACTTAACGAAAGAATGTTTGATGTGCTTTCCTGTTTGTAAAGACAAAAAGAGACTTTGCTGATTTTCATCTTCATGAGATACCCTCATGACGCTGTGATATAAAGCCAAGTTTTACCCTCACACATAGATAAGATTATTTGACTATTGTACACATTGTCTATCCTTAGAAATCAGTTGGTAAAGTATGTTGCTACCAATCTAGAATTAGTGTGTCTGAGACTAGAAGAGTTAGAATTTGTAGTTTGGAGAGACAAGTTCCTATGAATCACTAGGTTGAATTCATGGTTCACAACTGAATATGACTAGATGAATCATGATAGAACAGAAGAAAAAGAACAGAAAAATAATAAACCTAACAGATGTATGTATTACCAATACATGAAAAATTTTTTTAAAGGATATTGATTCATGGATGTGTATATATATGTATACATACATACATACATACATACATACATACATACATACATACATATATATATATAGTATACTGTAGTATTATTACTTGAATTTCTAGGAATAATTTTATATATAACCCATAGCCTAGATCTGAAGGTTTGTGCCTATGCAGACCAAGGTCAATCTTGGAGGTTTCTTATCTTCTTTTCTACCTTCTACACACACACACAGGGTTTTCCCTGGAAACATCAACATTTGGCTTTCTTAGTTTTTTTTTGTCATTTGTTAGGAAACTTTCCTATGTCCCATGGTTAGCCTGGTACTAGTAAAGGAACTGGAGATATATAGACAAAAAAAATACAAAAAGGACTACTAACAAAATTCATAAACAGTCAAAGAAATTTTCCCCTCCAGTGAACCTTCCCTCTCATAGGTAGGCGCCTATACAGTTGCTCTGGGGTTGAGGAGTAAAGTGCTAAAAGAGATAAAGAACTTGGGTTTGCTCAGTAGTCCATCAACCCACCCCTTTGGAAGGTTTCCCATTTCTTCAGAACCTACATAGTTTACATGATCCACAGTTTCAGTGAAGGATAAGATCTTGGGGTGTTTCTCTACATTGTGGTCTGTGCCTCATTGTTCCTTGTCTCTACCTCCAGTAGCTCACCAGTATGTTCTAAGAACTTCCTTGCTATCCTGTCCCTGCTGTTTTGCTCTGTATTTGCATCTGTTGTGATTACTTTCCCTTATTCCTGCTATCACATTCCATCTGTGTAGTTGCCAAGTCTCTTTTCTACTTTTGTTAGTCACCACTGATGTTGCTTCTTCAAGGAACTGTCAGCACACTTTTTGAATAAGAGCTCCCAGGTCAACACATGTTGGGGCTGGTCAGTCAATCAATTAAGAGTTTATGAAGTACCCCGTATATGTAAGGCACCATGGAGGTCAACACATTTGCGCATCTGTTGTTGGACAGCCATTGCAGTCCACATGCTGTATAAAAGAAATGGCAGCTCTAAACTCTTTCAGTTCTAAACTTCTCAAAACAGGTTAATTTCTGGCTGAGTTAGGGAAACAAAATTTAAATTTCCATTGACCCCTTTCATGCCTTTACGTATACGCTGTGTGCCATCACCCTCCAACCTACCCCATTATAGTTCATACCTCCTGTTGAGTTTTTCCAATTGGGGATAAACTCATATCTCTTTGCATTTATTTTTCTGAGTTCTGTCCCATCCTGGTGATGAGAACCAGGACAGACAGATTGTCTTAACTCTCCAATAAGCATCAAAGAGTACACCAGAAACAATGGAAGAGAAAGGGGCAAAACTGGCATCCTCTGTAGGCATTCTTGCTTCCCTAGCAAAGGCCCACGTCCACATTATAAATATGAATTTTGAAACATTACAGGTTTGCTAACGGAAGTACAGTGTAAATCCAAACGACTTAGAAAAAACTTCAAGCAGAAGAATAGCTTTTTTTGTAACATCAAAGTGGAAGAAGAAGGAATAGACAATAAGCATGTGTCATCTACAACTAGATCTAGAAAAGTGGTAAGCACTTTACTCCTCAGTAACTGTTTGTTTCTTTAATTGTTTTTGGCATAAACTATATACATGGTTTTTTTTTCCTTCTTATATTTTCTTAAAGCTACAGGACAGAGTGGAACTAACTCCAGTGGAACATCAGCTCATTGAGCACATTGTGGCTGCTCATCAAAGATATACAATTCCACTAGAGGAAGCAAAGAAATTAGTATGTGGGCATTACAAGAAGTAATGAGTAATCAGCAATATCATCAAATAATAATAGTAAATCTTGACAATTTTTGTAATAAAGTTAATTTTCATTAATTCTTTTTCTGCGTGTGCTAGCTCCAGGAATATGCGAATCCTGAGGAAAGTTTCTTGCGACTTTCAGAGACAGCAGTGCTTCACATTCAGATGTTGGTGGATTTTACAAAGAGACTTCCAGGTAGTTTTCCTTGAAGACTTTTTAAAACATCACTAAACTCAACAGATTCATTTTATTCCCTCATTTTAAGGAGAGTAGAGGAATATAAATAGAAAGAAAACCTTCAGTTCTTTCTAATTATTATAGATTTCGAAGTTGGGAAAAGTCTGAAGCTAAAGTCATTTAAAATTAACATACCTACAAAATTCATGCTATTTCTACATATATGTCAATATAATAACAAAACTCACATTTATGTAGCATTTTAAGGTCTGCAAAGTATCTTCCTTCCAACAACCATGGGAGGTAGGTATTGTTACCCCTGTTTTAGAGCTGAGGAAAATGAACCTCTGAGTTATAAGATCATAGGTTTAGAACTAGAATGAACCTTAGAAGTCATAGAAGTCATCCCCCCTTTTAATAATTGAGGAAACTAAGTTCCCAATAGGTAGAGTGACTTGCCCAAGGTCATACAGGTAGTAAATGGCAAAACCAGTATTCAAACTGGGGTCATTTGACTCCAGATCCAGTATGCTTTTCACTACAATACATTGACAAACTGAGAGTAAGTAATTTCCCTCCTAGCAAAATGACTAGGTAGGAAATCAAACCCAGATGGCCTTACTCCAAATTCAGAATGCTTTCCACTATGCTAATTCTCCTCCAAAACATTTTGACTGGTTTATTCGATCAAGGAAGTAAAAATCATTAGTCAAAATTATTTTTTGAATGACTTGATAAACTTGATAATCAAGTTGGTCAAACAACTCATTTGGCTTTTTTATATGTGTGTTTGGTTTATTTTTGTAGATAATCTAAAGTAAACAAAGGAAAAGCCCACAATAGTAGAGAATCAGGCTATTAATTTAATGGATAAAAAGAAAAAACTCATACAGTCAACACATTGGAAAATAAGAACTTTGCAGTTCCATTATCCATATCACTTAGTATTTGTCATAGTAAAACCTTGCTAATCAGGCAGCATTAACAAAAACATTTTTAAGCCGCAAATTTGAATAAAAGTATTTTATTCACCTTTGGAGTTAAACAGTGTTATTGTTTGTTGAATTAAATTCAATCCATAGTTGAAAATTTTTTCTTAATAATTATAAATATCTTTTCTTACAGGATTTGAAAGTTTGGCCAGTGAGGATCAGATTGCATTGCTGAAGGGGTCAACAGTTGAAGTCATGTTCCTTCGTTCAGCTCAAATCTATAATCAGAAAGTTAATGAATGTCTTTCGTCAGCCAGTGGAAGTAAATATGGTAGTCTTTTCTTAGGCTTCCTCCTTCTTGACCTCTGCTGTATTTGACCCTATTGACTGTCTTCTGCGTTTCCTTCCCTCCCGGGGTTTTAGTGACTTTATTTCCTCCTAGTTCTATTGCTTCATGTTTTACCATCCTTCTTTCTCCACTTTGCTGGCTTATCTTTCAGCTAACTGTTGAGTGTTCTCTAAGGCACTATCCTGAACCCTCTTCTCTTCCTTCTTTACACTCTCTTGGTGATCATGGTTTAATTATCATCTAAAAGTTGATGACTCAGATGTATAGATATATACACCTATGTCTACACATCTGAGTCATCAACTTTTAGATATATATCTATATTTATAATTATATATAGATATATTTATATCTATAATATAATCTATCTCTATATGCACTATCTGCCTGTCTATATATACACTGTCTATAATTATATATACACATACAAATACAATACATACACACATACATATATATGTATGTGTGTATGTATGTATCCTGCCCCATGTCTTTTCTCCTGAGCTTCAATCCTTTATCAATTGCTTATTGGATATTTTAAACTGGATTCTAGGAGACATTTCAAGCTCAACATGTCCAAAATAGAACTTAATTATCCCACCCAAGACTACTCCTCTTTCAAACTTCCCTATTTCTATTGAACTTGTATGACTTTGGGCTTAAATCTTAACTCTTCTTAACCTTTGTTTCCCTATCTGTAAAATGGAATTAATAATAGCACCTAGCCCTCAGGATTGTTGTGAGGAACAAATGAGATAATAAATGTAAAGTGCTTTGTAAGCCCTAAAGTTTTACGTGAATGTTAGTTATCATTGTTATTAAAGATACTACCATTCTTCTGGTCTCCCAGGTCCATTATCTCAGCTTTTTCTCCAACTTCTTACTCTCCCTCACCCCATGTATACAATCAGTTGCCAAATTTTGCCACTTCTGCCTCCACGACATTTTTCCTATCTGACTTCTCTGTGCTCACACAGGTACAACCTTAGTTACACCTTCATCATCACTAATCAATTATTGGAGCAGCCTCTTAATCCTTCTTAGTTTCTCAAGTCTTTCCCCATTGTCGTCCATGCTCCACAAATCTACCAAGGAGATTTACTTTAAGCATAGATCTGACTTTTGTTCTCAGTGAACCCTAATGGCTCTTTACTGCACACCCTGAGATCAAACTGCCCTTCTCTCTGTTCCTCACATGCCACACTCCATCTACCATCTTAGTGCCTTTTCATTGGCCATCTCCCATACCTGAATGGATTTCCTCTTTACCTCTGGCTCAGAGAGTCCATTATTCCTTAAAGACACAGCTCAGTTACCACCTTCTACAATCTTTCTTGATTCTCGTAACTGCTTTATATTTGATTTCTTTGTATTTTTTATATTTTTATCCACACCTGGATAGAAATACATAATACATAAATATACTTGTCCCTCCATTACAGTGTAAGCTCCCTTAGAGTAGGGATTGTTTTATTCTTTGTTTTTATCCCCAGTGTCTAGTTCAGTGCCTGGACATAGAAAGTGATTAAAAAATGTTTGTTGATTGATTGCTATAAATTGACAACAGCTCTAATGTTGATAGATGCTGTTAAATTTAGCCACCAATTATGGCAATCAAGTAATTTTGCTTATTGTAAATGTTTTTCTTTTACCATTGATTAGCAGAAAAGAAAGCCACCTATTCTATACCAGCTGCTTAAAAACTATTTCCTAATACATTTGAAATTGTGTGATTTTAAATGACTTGACTTTTAAGGAAATCATTCTGCACTTTAAGCATCATAGAGAACCTTTGAAGAATTGTTCTGTTTGCTATTTGAATAGAATTCATTAAACATTGCTTGATCTTTATTCACATTTTAATAGTAAATAAAAATAATAATCAACAAGTAAGTATTAAGCCCTACTATGTTCTTGATATTGTGTTACATACTGGAAAGAATATCTGTCTCTTATTGATATGGTCACACCTAACAAATGCTATTTTGGTTATTTGGCTATGAAAGAGACAGAATAGAATCGCCTGAATAACAAATTAAAAAAACCAAAGCTTCTGTTTTCTTCTCTTATCAGATGCTGTAAGGTTTTCTGATCATTCACTAAATTATCACAGTCAGAATGCTGATCAAAGTGTTATTTATTCTATGGAAATGCCTCACAATGCAGAGAGTCCAACTTCTACTACATCTGGTAAAATGAGCATTATAAATATTGACTGACGTTAGAAGAAATAGTTCTTTTCTGTTTGATGTTTTTATCAAGTGACTTAGATTTGGGCAGAGATCTTGTGCTTATCACATTTGTAGGAAATAAAAGCTAAGAGGGATAGTTAATATGTTGCATAACAAGTCAGGATTATGAGCTAATAAATCAGGGATCAAATCTTAGATCCACCATTTATTACCAGTGTATCCTTGGGCAAGTAACTTGACCTCTCTGAACCTCACTTTCTTCATCTGTAAAAGGAGAAGGTTGGACTAGATGATTTCTAAAGTACGTTCTAGTTCCAAATCCCTTATCTATCATCCTATGATCAAAACAATCTTGACAGGCTAGAATAGTGGGCCAAATCTACTAAGATGAAATTTAATAAGGATACATTTTATGTTACATGTAGGTACAAAAAAAAAACTTCATTTAAGTTTAAAATGGAGGAGATTTAGATGGAAGACAGTTTATCTGGAAAAAAAATCTTTGGGATTTCATGGTCTGCAAGTTCTTTATGAGTCAGCAGTATGATAAGGCAACCAAAAAACCTAATGCACAGAATCGTAAAATATCAAATTTGAAAGGGACCTTTAAAGGTCTTGCACCCTAACTTTCACCTGAAAAAGAATTCTCATTATGATGTACTATCAAAGGATGATCCAGCCTTTGCTTAAAGACCTCAGGTGAGGGCAAGCCCAATCTTAGGCTGCCTTATGCAACCCTACACTACATTAAGAAAGGTATAGTATATGGGACTAGGTGTCTTGTCCTTTTCACCTGTGGCACATTGTATTCACTTCTGAGTGGGACATGATTTAGGCAGGCCATTGATAAGCTGGCAAGTGTGCAGAAGAGGCCAATCAGGGTGGTGATTGAGAACATGCTGTACCAATACTGGTTTAAGGAAGTGGGGGAGGAGAAAAAACACAAAGGGACATGATAACTTCCTTTAAGTATCTGAAGTAGTATTATACAGAAGAGGGGCTAGGCTTGTTCTGCTTGGCTATAGAGAGCAGATAAAGGAATGATTAATAGAAGTAGCAAACAGGAAGATTTAGAATATAAGGAAAAACTTTCTTATACTTGGAGTTATTAGTATAGTGCTTAGCATAGTGCCTGGCACATAGAAGGCACTTAATAAAAATTTATTGATTATTCAAAAACAGAAGAGGTATGCAGGTATATTGTAAAGAGGATTCTTATTCAAGAATGGGGTGAACTAGATGGTCTCTGAGGTGCCTTCTGATTCTAAGATTATGTTATTCTTGAATTGTTTTGATAAATGGCAATTGCAATGTCTGATTCAGCATTGGATTTTTATTAAAATGTTTTTACTTTTGCTTTTTTAAAGGCATCACTGAAGATTTTATTACTGCACTCTTTTACTTCTACAGAAGCATGGGAGAACTTAACGTTACTGAAACTGAGTATGCTCTGCTTGCAGCAACAACTGTGTTTTTTTCAGGTAAAATCAATTACGAAAGATTTTTTTTTTTGGTGAGGCAATTGGGGTTAAGTGACTTGCCCAGGGTCACACAGCTAGTAAGTGGCAAGTTTCTGAGGTCAAATTTGAAATCAGGACCTCCTGACTTACAAGCTGGTTCTCTATTCACTGTGCCACCTAGTTGCCCCAGTTATGAAAGATTAGTAAAGAATACATTCCAAATACTTATTAACTTGGAAATTGAAGCATATACAATTTGTGGATTGCAATTACATTAAGAGAGATACAGTACGACTTCATAGTCTTAGAGTCAGAAAGGCATGGATTCAAATTCTGCTTCTGACATATACTAGTTGTATGACCATAGACAGGCAAGACACAACCTCTGGTCTGCATCAGTAGAGGGAGTTCTCTGTAGAGATGAATTCCCAGGTTTGGATACTTCCCCCTCCACTACCCAAAGATTTTTTGCTCATCTTGTGCTGATTTTGTGTTTTAAGTGGATACTTGCACACACAGTTATTGTGTGGCTTATTTCTTAGAAATATAATTTCTTTTAAAGACCAGACTTCATTCTTATTCTTTGTGTTTTGGCAGAAAATATTAAGATAATTATGGTATTGTTTTTCAGATCGTCCACTGCTTAAAAATAAGCAACATGTGGAAAAACTACAGGAACCACTTTTAGGAATTTTGTATAAATATTCAAAAATATATCATCCCGAAGATCCTCAACATTTTGCTCGTCTCATAGGAAGACTTACTGAGCTCAGAACACTGAATCACAACCATTCAGAAGTTTTGGTCACCTGGAAATCCAAGGACCCCAAACTTAATAGTTTACTCTGTGAGATTTGGGATATGCACTGAATAGCTACTAATATTGCTGAGATTCCACCATCACCTTGTTTTTTTCTTAAATTTCTTGAAACGCAAATTGTTCATTTATTTTATTTTAAAAAGTTTTATTTTGTGCCTTGTATTTTTACAGTACAGTCATTTCCCTTTAACCACTCCTCCTTCCCCCTTCTGTTCTCCCCATGTATCCTACCTTGTAATAGAAAATAGACACTGCCAATTTGGACTTTTGTCTGTATTTCGTGTCCATAATCCCCTTGCTTTTCTCCTTCCTCATCTCTACCTTCCAGCTTCCCTGGTTTCCTTAAATATCAGATAAAATTTCACCTTCTACAAGAAACCTTTCTCAATCCTCCTAATCTTAGTGCTTTCCCTCTGAGATTATCTCCAATTTACCTTTTATATGTCCTGTTTATACATAGCTGTTTGCACATTGTCTCCCCCATGACACTGAGCAAAAGACAGAGATGGTCTATCCCTAACCCTTAGCAAGGTGCCTGGTTACTTGACTGGTTGACTGAGTGAGGAGGAGGTGTATTTCATTATCAGTTTTCCAAGAGCAAGATAGATCATGACAATGATTGTTTTTTAGTTTTGTTATCATTTATGTTAATTTACTCATTATATATTATTTTCCTGGTTCTGCTTTCTTCTTTTTTATGTACTTCAATATTTAAAACAAGTTGGACACAGAGGATGAATGAATTAACATTAATAGGATTAGTGTGTGAAAAACCCAACATTTTAGCAAAAAAAAAAAAGAGCAAAATAAGCTTCTCTTATTTTGTAGAACACTTAATAATGTCAGTGGAGGGACATCTAAGACCATCCTGGCTGGAAGCAAGAAAGTCCTTATATAATATTGTTGCTGATTGGTTCTTTTTATGGAATTAATGATCAGCTGAGAGAAGTTAAAGACTGCCCTGGACTACAACATTCACTATCAAGCCTCTCACTTTCTGTTGCCATTAAATTGACAAGTGAACATGTCCTCAAATCATTTTAGGAGTTGAAGACAATTTCTAGACAAAATGAGGAAGAAAAAAGATTAGCTGGTACAAATAGCTGTAGTTAGAGAAAAGCTCACATTGATGTGTTTGTCATCAACTTACAGATGAAAAAACAGACGTAGAGAAGTTCATAGCTGATATTTATTATATAGTACCTTTCAGATATGGAAAGCATATTAAATCCTTGATCTCATTTGATGCTCACAATAACCCCGTGAAGCAGATACAACAGGTATTATTATCCTCATTTTACAGATAAAGAGACTAGGGTTGATGGAGTTTAAATGGTTCACCACTCATAATACAGCTAGTGAGATAACCTTACAATACTCTGTGTTATAATGTACTGTCTCTCAGGGAGTTTGTGGCAGTAATTTCACAACATGATTAATATAGTTCAGCTTTTAACGATGAATTGAATTAGATAATACCTGTTCAATTTAAAATATATTACTATTACAATACTTTGTAAGTGATGAAAGAGGAAATAAGTGGTGGGACATTTTATTTGTCCTCCCTCTACCTTTGTTTAAATCTTACCTTTTTATTAAAGATATAGTTACTTTAATTTTTTCCCCTTATTCCTCTCCTCCAAAACTTTTAATTAAAAAACAATAGCTTATCTCTGTAATACATTTTTAGGGTGTGCTATTTTTGATAAAGTGGCAAAATATGCTAGATTTTGGTCACATTTTTGTACTGTATTTTGACTTTTTTTATTGTACCATATTATGTACACTAACACCAATTCTTTTCAGTAAAGGAAGCGATCTATTACAAATCCAATTTTGAGAGTTTGTGAGTGACATAAAAATATTGAAACTTTATTTTAATATGTAGTGGGAAAATGTAGCCAAATTCTATTTTTAATCCTTACAGCTAATATTTTTGTATGCTCTTTACATCTTTTGCAAAAGTAATATTGTTCTCAAAGCACAAAATATTTTTACAAATGTGTTAAGTTAAATTTTGAGAAAATTGGGAGGCCTGTGGCCTTGGGAACCAGTGAGTTCTACTGTGGTAGTAATACTTTCCAAGACTGGGTATAAATAAAGATCGAACACTGAAAATTAGTGGGAAAATAATCATCATTCCCAGGAATAACATCTGGTGAAACTTCGATAAAGAGCTGATATGAAAACAACAATGTAATGCAAAGTTGCATTTCTCATAGACATAAAATTTTTTTATGTGACACGTGCAGCTCGCCTCTCAAACCATAAAACGCTATATAAGTGCTATTATTATCATTGAACAAAGTGTATAGCTCAGGCCTGGGGGAATGTGAGGAAGGAACCAACCAGCACAGTCTGAGTTAGCACGTGACCTTCAAGGCCTGAGCAATTCCCCCCCCCCCCCCCCCGCAGATCTCGCGACACGTGGCTTCCCTGCGTCAGTTTTATCGACCTCCCCGCCCCTCCTCCGCACTCGGTGGCAGTTGGGAACGTGTAACGGTCGCCCTGGCTCGAAGCGCTCCCGCCTTTTCTGAAGCGCTGTTGAGGCGGCGGCGGCCTTTTGTTCTTTTTCTGACCCCTGATTGCTCACGGGAAGACGGGCTCACCAGTGGGCACCAAATCCACGATAAGTCTTCAGACCCCTCTCGTGGTACGGGTTGATCCTCGCCGGCCCCTTCCCCCCCCCCCCCCCTCGCCTTTTTCTTTTTTCTCAGGGGCATAATAGGGAGTTGGGTGCGGAGATTTTAATAGAAGAATAGATTAAGAAAGGGAAAGGATCTTAGGCCTAAACCGCACTCACCAACCCCTACTATTTTACAAATGAGGAAACTGAGGCCCAGCGCCGTGATCCCACAGTTAGCAAGTGGTATGGCTTGGATTTAAATCATGGCTGAGATTTTAATCGGGGTCCTCAGATTTCCGTATCCCCAGGCCTTCGTTAACGACTTGCCTCCGAATTTGGTCAAGTCCTGGCTCTTAATTGCTCTTCACCCAGGGCTTCAATCAATAAACATTTATTAAGCGCCTACTGTGTGCCAGGCACTGTGCTAAGTGCTCCAGGGCACATCAGATACTTCAGGAACAAAACCTTGATGCTTAAAAATTTGACCACAGCTCTTTGGGATTATGATTTTAGACTTAGGCAATGATTAGCTGAAGACTGTGAAAGCTACTTTGAAAATGTCAGGGGAGCTGATTTTTGGTAGAATGTCTATTTTACAATTATTTTTCCTCGAGCTTAATTCCACTCAATTAAAGCTAAGTCAAAGTTTTTCTTCTATACCTCTAATAAATTTGTTTGGAAGTACAACTGTTGTTTATCATTATCTGTATCTCTGAAATTTGCAGGGAAGGAGGGGGAGGCGCATGTTTGAATTTGTAAGAATTTCATGCCATGTGATCATATTTTCACTTAAAACAACAAACCAGTAAACATTTTGTAAATTTGGATATATTTCAAAAACTATAAGAGAAAATTATCTGTTTCAAGGGCTAGGATCCAGTGATTTTTGGTATATTTTCATTTGCTAGATAGTTGCCAATTTAGTGTTAGGTAAATAGTCAACTCTGTTACTTTACCAAGCAAGCACTGGAGCATTCCTACTGTACTCCTGGTTCTTTTCCTAGGAATTTAAGAGGCAATTCATTCCACAAACATTCCTCACTTTCGTATGAAGAGTAAATTGTGTATTGTCAGAAACAAAGTACAACATTTTCATTGTAACTGATGTTTTCTGATTGGAAGGAAATGGAAAAGGAAAAGCCATTTAAATTGTTTGTACCGCCAAGACTAAGTAGCAGTCAAGTGTCAGCAGTTAAACCTCAGAGTATAGGAGGAGACACTAATTTTTTCAAGGTAAATATGAATGTAATACTATGGATTTTATATTCCTACCCATAGAATAATGACATCTAGTATGTGTTGTTCTCAATAGTGATATTTACCTAAAAAAATTTTTTTCCCCCTTAAGAATGGAAGGCTTTGAATGCTATATCCTGGTATGAGCAAAACATTTTGTGTATCCAATATTCATTTCCCCCAATGTTCTTAGCACCTATTTATATATAAAACCCTGTATATGTACTGGACATTTAATAAATGTATATTTTAGACTAGTAAATTCTATTTGCTACTACAATATATTTCACTTCTGAATGAATCAAATAAAATATTGCCCCTTATGAAGCCCTGGAACTCTTATCACTATTGATATACCAGGTTAAATACATTATAAGAAATCGATTCACTACTTCAACTGAACTGTATCTCTTCCATAAATCCTCTCTACTCAATGTAGAAGCTTGGGTTGTCTTCTGTTGTTGGTCCATAACTGCCTACATGCGTTTCTAGATCACACATTTCTTGAATGATAGCCTTTACAGTCTTTGTATGTAGCATCTGTATGCTTTGTTGGTATTGAATTATTTTTTAAGTAATGTCCAACTCTTTGTGACCCAATTTGGGGTTTTCTTGGCAAAAATACTGGAGAGGTTTGCCATTTCCTTCTTCAGCTCATTTTACAGATGAGAAAGTTGAGGCAAAATGGGTTAAGTGACTTGCCCAGGGTCACACAACTAGTAAGTGTCAGAGGCCAGATTTGAGATTCCAGGCCCACTGTACCACCCCACTGTTCTGGAAAAAAAAAAGAAAAAAAGAAACAAGAAAAAAATCTATGTACTTACTGGATTTTAAATGTGTAAAAATTCTATTCTCCATTCTAAGGTTGATAGGCAGCTTGGCACAGATCTATCTCAGCATCAGGAACACCTGGGATAAAATTTTATTTCTAATGCATACTAGTTCTGTAACTCTGGGCAAGTCACTTAAACTTTTAGTACTCTGAGCGCATCTCTGGGACCATAAGTTACAGAGCAGTTGTACATCTACGTTGGGAGAAGTTTTCCTCTGGGATTTCCTTATATAAATAAAATTATAGGTTTAATCCCTTCCCATATTCATACTCATAAGTATATAGTTCCAGATATGGACAGTAGGGATATTGTGACCAGCATAGCTAAATTTAGAGAGGCTTATCACCAGGTTGTCATCACCAGAATGAGTTTTTTTCAGCCACAGAAACTACTGAAGAACATCCATCAAATTATAGAGAAAGTTATGATCTTCATCAGTGGACAGTATACCCATACCAATGAAATCATAGTCAACTTGAAATATTAAAGTCAATAAGATTAGATTTATAATGAAAGTATGTAAATGTTTATTCTTTTTGTCAAATATATTTTATGATCTTCACTAATACTGTATGTCTCATTGAAGAGTAGAGGTGACACTGTATTTCCTAAAGTTATTTCAGTGGACCACAAATTCTGGGAGGTCATACCAAGCTGGAAATACTTCAAGTACAAACCCAGTGATGGCATTTGTGTCTTATCAGAGAACTAAGTAAGCCAATCCAGTTCGGCAAACCTGACTGTGGTATGTGTTGGAGATCCAAAGACAAAAATAAAACAACCCCTTCATGGAGTTTACATTTTGATAGCAAAGTTAAAAAAGGTTCATTGCCAGAAGATTGGCCTCTAGGTTATAAGTATTTTTGGCTATAGAAACTAGTGAAGACATGAGTTGTAATCTGTATCTTTAAATGGAGTACCCTACATTGATAAACATATCCCTGAAGCATTGGTTTATATATAGTATAAAAATAGAATATATACTTAATATATATTACATATATACAACATATATTACATAATATATATTATACAATATATAATATATTACATATATTATATATTGCATAAGTATATAATTATATAAGTATACATATAAATATATAATATGTAGGTATTAAGGCTTTGTTGTGCACTTAAGAGTTTTTTTTGTTGTTTTTTTTTCACTTAACAGTGTTTTGCTTATTTTTTAGGATTTTAACAAGAGTGTTGAAGATGATTTTGGTTTGCCTTTTGGAATAACTAACCCATCTAAACGTAGTGAAAACATTGATTCAGGTGGGAAAAATATAGCTAATTTTAAGTGTTAGAAAAATAAGACAAACATATTGAGCCTCTCTTACTCTGATAGCTATTCATGTTATTAAGTGCAACATAGATATGAAATTTAGGTCTTTAAATACCAATAATATTTTATCTTTCAGATCCAGTTCTGCAGAAAGTTAATTTTTTGCCCATGATTGAAAAGGTCAGTTACATATATTGTCAATTTCCATATAACACAGAGACTGTACTACACTATTATCATTGTTGAATTGCTTATTTGCAAATAAGAAAATCAACTCCTGAGATGCTGGGTTACATTTAAGCTAGTATTGTTACTATTTGACACCTATTAGCAACTTTTATCTTCTTACAGAAGACATTTATTCACTTTTCAGGTTGGTACTGAGCATTCTAACTTCTTGGAAGAACTGAAGAACCCTCAGTTTGAGGTCAGGAGTTCCTATGCTAAATTAAAGTTATTTATTATTTTTAATATCTTCTCATAATAGCATTAATGGTATTTACAATTGATTTCCTTAATGTTTTAATATAAAATGTTTCAAAAAATGATTTTCTGTCTCCTAGGATTGTTTAAATGTCTTAGTTTTCTTTCTTTTTCCTTGGTACAAATGAATCTAATTCTTGTTTAGTGACTGTTTAGAGACAGTTTTGTTTTTATCTAGTTCGGTCACTAAGGATAGAAGAGCATAGATGAATGGAGGATGTGGAAAGGAATAAGAATCAAGCTTCTGAATGTTTTCAAAGAAAGTTTATTGGTTTGTGTGTGATTATTGTATTAGCCTATTCTTGTGGGTCATTTAAACAAAGTTCTTTTGGAGTATATCTGATTTTAGAACAAAGTAAGAGTTTTATTAATGATTATTAAATTTTGGAGACCAATGACTTGATAAGAAGTAATGGTTTATGGTATAGTAGTTACAGAATAAACTTAAGTAATGATACTTTATAATATGATATACAGAGTTAAAAGGAGCAGGTAGTGCATGCCTTTTTTGGATTCATCCATATACCATAGACTTTTGGAAAGAAGAGACTGTAAAAAAGTGAAAAAATCCAAATATAACTCTAATCTTGATGAAGCTAAGAACTTACAGTCACTGCTGGTTGCTCTATACTATAATTTGCTTTAAATAGTCCCATCCCATTTTCCTTCCTCCAACTTCCAGTTTTTCCTGTTAACATATTTTAAAAGTTTTTGCATAAGATTATTTATTCTGTTTAGTGTCTAATTTACTTTAAGCATTTTGATTAACCAAATTTCCTCAGGGCTTAAGGTTCTGAGTTAAGTAGCTTTTGGAGCTGCCTATATTAATTCATTCAGTCCAGCAAGGTACAATGCAGGTTAAGTGATATAACTGTACTAAAGATTGTTGAAGCACAGTGGAAAAAGTTATTAGTAGATACAGTTAAACTTAAATGCTCAGAAGTTAATTTTATAAACTAATAAGTTATATAAACAATAAATTAAAACCATAGTAGCTTGACAGAGTTAATATGGCTTCTCAGAATGACTGAGAATAAGTTAGATGAGATAATTTGTCTCCAATATCAAGTAATGAAGAGACCATGTGGCATAATGATGCCATGGGCAAGTTGCTTAATCTCTCAGGACCCCAGGCAACTTTTTATTATTATATGACAGAAAATAATTATAGTTAATATTGATAGATAATATTAATATTGCAGGTGGGTGGTGCAGTAGATGGAGTGCTGGGCATGGTGTCAGGAAGACAAGTTCAAATTTGATCTCAAACACTAGCTGTGTGACCCTGGGCAAGTCCCTTAACCCTGTTTGTCTCAGTTTCCTCATCTATAAAATGTGTTAGAGAAGGAAATGGCAAACCTCTCCAATATTTTTACCAAAAAACCCATAAAGGGGTCACAAAGAGTCAGACACAACTGAAACAACTAAACAGCAACAATATTGATACAGTGCTTTTTATAGTTTGCCAAGTGCTTACTTGATCTTACTTGATGCTCACAAGCCTGTGAGATAGGTGCTGTATTATTATTCTTATTTTACGGAAGGGATAACTGAATCTGAAAGAGGTTAAATGATTTGCTTAGGGTCACACAAATCTTAAATATCTGAGGCAGGACTCAAATTTTGGTTTTCTTGGCTCCAAGTTCAATGCTACATTTAATTACACCATCAGGCTGACTCAGATGAACTATCATTTATATTAGTGGAAAGAGTTTCCACACTGGAAATTCCCTCCACTGATGGAACCATAGGTTTGTACCAAAATTAAATAATTAATTATTTTTAGGAGCCATTAATATTTTTGTTTTAAAAATATTCAGCAGATGATACCTAATTTATGGAACTTTTCAATAACTTTTTCAATAGACTTCAGAGCCAATCAGCACACTTTATTCAAAACTGTATAAGGAGGCTGAAAAGATTAAGAAATGGAAGGTGAATGTAGAATTTGAACTGAACCAAAAGGAGAAAAAGTTACAGGAAAATAGAAAGATTATTGAAGCACAGCGAAAAGCTATTCAGGAGTTGCAGGTACATTGGTAAACTTTTGCACATGTAATTTTATAAGCAGAAACTACTTGGAAAAATAAGAATTAGTGTGCTAAAATCTTAATATAACTCAGTTGACATCAAAGTGGATTTCAGTTTAAAATTGCTCAGTATTATTAAAACTCTTTTTCATTTGTAAATTTGTCCCATGGAATGAATTTTGAAGAAAATGCAATTTTGAGCTTTCATGTATTTGGTTGTTAATCTACCTTTATTATTATGAATAAAGCACAGGTGACAAAATACAGATTATTTTGAACAGATGATTAAACATTTTAGAGGACTATTTTAAGAAGTCAGGAATTCTTTTTTAGTAATATAAAGTAATTATTGACAACATAAGACGGTGATATGACACAGAGCTGAACCTTCAAATATGAAACTATTTAACTATATCTTTATAAATGATCTCAAAATATTTATTCTTGTAAAGACAAAAGAAAAATTTCAGAAATACAACTCAGATTAAAAGACTAATTCTCTCCTGGAGGTTTAGAAAAAATAAAGAGGAATTAAAATATTGAAGTGGAGGGAATACTTATTTCAGTATGCAGTGTGTGTAAATGATTCAGAAGAGCTTATTTATTGGGGACAGCTAGGTGGTGCAGTGAATAGAGCACCGGCCTGGAGGTGAAGAGGACCTGAGTTCAAATATGGCCTCAGACCAAACACTTGACACTTACTGACTGTATGACCTTGGGCAAGTCACTTAACCCCAGTTGTCTAAAAAAAAAGAAAATAAAGGAAATTGCTGGATGAGGTCCATAGAGCATGCCAAAAAGCGAAATCTGTGTTATTGAGGGAAAGGTTTATTGTTGAGCATCTTATTATGTATAAAACATATAAAATGCTATCTGGTGATTGTCTTTAAGTATATTTAAATAAACAAAATGTGAGAGAATTATTTAATTTTTTTGTAAATTAGTTTGAAAATGAGAAAGTAAGTTTGAAATTAGAAGATGGAATTCAAGAAAATAAAGAACTACTAAAAGAGTAAGTAATAACTTCAATATTAACATATAAATATTATGCTATTGAGTACTATGGAGAAAGGAAAATCTTCCTTTTTCAACTCTTTAGCATCTGCTGTACTTAGGCGCCTCCTTGACCATAACACTTGTCTGCATTTATTATGAACATGACACAGAAAAACGTTAGATCAGGAGCTAGTGCTCAGTGAAACTGTAAACCAGCTCTTCTTCCAACTTTCCTGTTTCTGTCAATAGAATCACTCTTGTTGACTTAACCTGTTCCTTTGTCCCCCATTATAATCAGTTATCAAATCTTATTATTTCTTTGAAATGTGTTTAATTTTCTCTGCATGGATTATTAAAACAATCTCCTTAGATATCCTCTTTGATTCTAGTCTCTCTCACTTCTAATTCATCTTGTCAAACTAATTTTCCTTAAATACTACTTTTTGATGTAAATCTCTGATCAGAAACCTATAGTAACTTAAATTGTTAAAAATATGGTTTCTCACCATGTTCAATTAAAATTTCTCTGCCCTTCAAAACCTAACTTAAATTTTCTTTCTTCTATGAAGTTTTCCCCAGACTATTCTAGTTCCTCTTTCCTTTGAACTCCTAAAATATTTGTAGTCTGTGCAATATTTAGCATTTAATGATGTATGATTTTGTGTTTTGAGCTATTATTTCTTGTATTTGTCTTCTTTTTCCAATTTGATTGTAAATACTTTGAGATAGGAACAAGGTTTTAATCTTTTGTAATATCCACAGCACTGAACACATATTAGCATTTAATAAATACTTTTTGATCCATTGATATGGTTGACCCCACATTGGGCTCTGCTGCCAAATGAGATCTTGTGGCTTGGTAAACATGAAAACACATGTGGGAGTAAGTTATAAAGTCATCTTTTTTCATAGGTAGATATAGACCTACCTCCTCTATCTTGTGCTTCTATCTATGACAGATATGGTATGCTTCAAACATTTCACATGTTTAGAATTTTTCATAAAAATTTATCTATAAAAGCAAATTCTTATTGAAATTGAAATTTTTAGCCAGAGCGCATGTTGGGAAAGGATTTTTTTTTTTAGGAACAATGCCACAAGACATTTGTGTAATCTACTCAAAGAAACCTGCGCCAGGTCAGCAGAAAAGTCAAAGAAATGTAAGTATCTTTCTTGTTTTAGTTGACCTTTGTCAACATATGGTTTCATTTTTTCTAGGAAGCAGTTTTTTTCCTTTTAGATAACAGTATGATTTGAACAAATTATATGTTCCTCTGATCATTTCATTATGTAAAAAATAATCATGTTCCATTTTACACCGTAGAATTTTTTTTCAAAAATTGTTTACATGGTGTTTATAGTTGTTTTTATCAAAATAGAAACCTAGCTTTCAAAATAACCTGTGCTGTCTTAAACAACTGGGAAGTCAAACTGAGAATGAAATACCATGCAATGTGTGTAAAAAATGTACTAGTAGAGGCATATGATTTTAATATGACAGTAACAGAGGCAAATTGCATGTGTGAGAGAGAGATGACCAGCCAGGAGTATGTTGGAACCAGCTAGTACTAGTTCAAGCAAATTGTTAAAATTTCAGTGTAAGCATTTATACCACAGAAATAGGCAAATGTTACAAATCGGGACTTTATTGTTTTGTTGATTGTTTAGATTTAAGAAAATAAAGGAGAAAATGTAGTAATGTAGATTAAACTTAAAAGTCTGTTCTACCTAATTTTTTATTTCTTCAGAAAACCATTTGTTAGACATTTATCAGCATACCTCTGGCCAACCCCATGGTTATATACAAGTAGGATCGTGGGATTTAGAGGTGGAAAGGATACCTAGTCTTAACTCGTTCATTTTACAAATAGGGAGACTGAGGTCCAGACAAAGTGACTTGCCTAAAGTCAGACAGATGGTAAAGAGATTTACATATACATTGTTATGCTACCTCCTATATAGTATTTAGTTAAATACTGTGTTTACTTCCATTCTAAGCAGTGTGAGAATCATGTAGTTTTCTACTACAAGCTTTTAAGTTTTTAAACATTCTATTGAGATTGTGGGAGAATATATAGTGAGGAATACTGTGGTATGAGATTTATGGTTAGAAAACTTTTGTATGTGAATTTTTAGCACACCAATGGATTTGTGATGTCCTCAATATGGACACATCCTCCCATAGTTCAGACTGCAAGCCATCCGTGTCTTCTTATCCTGTGCCACTCTTGACAATGTCTTCTCATAAATCTTTAACTACACCCAACATACTAGGGCCTTTCTCTATGTCTTTTAACATTTTGTGGATAACAGTGCAGCAAATGGGTTGTCCATCTGCTATCTCTTTCACTTTGTGAGTGACCTACCTTTCTTTTCCTTCATATGCCTGCTTGATGATACTGTACATATTGCTTCTCTTATGCAATTCATTATTGCTATAGACTATAGCTTACTTAAGTCAACTTAGGCGTCTCTCTGTTGCCCTCAATTTCTACTATTTGGTGATTGTGACATTCTATGATTAGCAACTATATAGCATACTGTAAGAGTGTTAGTATTAAAAGAGGGGCTTTTTGTTTTGAGGGAAATTTAGAATATGTAAAAGCATCACACAATTTGTCAAATATAATTCATCCTATTCTTTTTTTCCTATTCAATTCTGGCTTCAGATTATTGTCTATGTGCAGCATCCAAGATAAAAATACTGATGAACAGGCTCAATGAGTTGTTCATCCAACTGTTTATCATAGTCCACACAATATGCACTATTCTTATGCTTGATTTTTTCTGTCAGATTGTAAGACCAAACTGTTTGAAGTATTTGTAAATCTCATTTAAGATATTTTTCAGTTACTCTTTTAAATATACTGAACATTCAATATTTACTATGAATTTTTAGTGTAGTTTAAAACACATAATGAAAATTTGAGAGTACAAACAGTGGTCTTGAATCTATCTTTGATTATGCATTACTTGATGGCATAAAAGTAAGAGTGTAAGAGTGGTAGTTTCAACATAAGAGTATTAATGCTGACTTTTTTCCTTTGATGATGTGAGGAAAATTTCTTTCGTCTATTAGGCAGCATTGCCTTGTCAAGGAAAGCATAAAGGTAGAGAGGAAATAAACTCCATGCAATGGTACTTGAATTGCTAATATATATGTGGAGGAGTCAAGCTATGGTTCTTTTATCTTCCCCTTCCCACCCCATTTTCCCTCCTTTTACATATGAATGTCTTATTTTATAATAAGCTTTTTGCATAAAACTATTTGAAATGAATTTTTCTATAACTGTTTAAATGTGTAAGAGAACTAATATTAATTGTGGAAAGCTCCAGATCATCGAAATTCCTGTTGGACTTATACAGGGATTATGTTAGTAGGCACAAGCTTTGTTACAGAAAAAGAGAGCACTGGGAGTAGGAGGAGTGACAGTGGCACCACTGGTGGGAGTGAATCTAATCACCCAACCTCCTTGTTGGAAGTGGAGAAAATGCTACAGATAGCAGGTTTAGTATTGAATATTTTGTATGCTGTTAGCAAGGAAAATCCGGTTTAAGCTTCTATTTAAGGCAACCTCTCTATTTATTGATGATGTAGAAACTATAAGTTGAATAGCAGGATGTTTTTTATTTATTTTTTATTTTGTTTTTTTTGGGGGGTTACAAATTTTCTCCCTTCCTCCCTCCCCACCCACCCTTATTGAAAAGGCAAGCATCTCGATACAGGTTATAGATGTGTAGTCATGCAAAACACTTCCATAGTAGTCCTGTTGTGAGAAACTAAGTATATTTCCCTTCATCCTATCCTATCCATTTATTCTATTCTCTCTTTTGACCCTGTTCCTCCTCAGAAGTGTTTGCTTTTGATTATCCCCTCCCCCAATCTGCCCTCCCCTCTATCAATCCCCTGCTCTCTTGTCCCCTTCCCCCCTTATTTTCCTGTAGGGTAAGATTGATTTCCATACTCCATTGTGCATGTTATTCCTTTCTTAAGTCAAATCCTATAAGAATAAGATTCACTCATTCCCTCTCACCTTCCCCAATTTCCCCTCCACTGTAAAAGCCTTTTTCTTGTCTGTTTCATGTGAGATATTTTACCTCATTCTACTTTTCCCTTTCTCCTTCTCCCAGTATAATCCTCTTTCACCCCTTAATTTTATATTCCAGATATCACCCCTTTATCTTCAGCTCACCCTGTGCCCTCTATCTATCTATCTACACATACATATATATTTTTTTCCTCCCACTACCCTAATACTGACAAAGGACACATGAGTTACAAATATCATCTTTCCCTGCAAGAATGTAAACAGTTCAACCTTAATAAGTCTCTTATGATTTCTCTTTCCTGTTTACCTCTTCCATGTTTCACTTAGGTCTTGTATTTGAAGGTCAAATTTTCTGTTCAGCTATGGTCTTTTCCACAAGAATGCTTGAAAGTCCCCTATTTCATTGCATGACCATTTTTTCCCCTGAAGGATTATACTCAGTTTTGCTGGGTAGGTGATTCTGGGTTGTATTCCTATCTCCTTTGCCCTCCAGAATATCATACTCCATGCCTTCCGGACCCTTAATGTAGAAGCTGCTAAATCTTGTGTTATCCTGATCGTGTTTCCACAATACTTGAATTGTTTCCTTCTGGCTGCTTGCAATATTTTCTCTTTGACCTGGGGATTCTGGAATTTGGCTACAATGTTCCTTGGAGTTTTCCTTTGGGGATCTCTTTCAGGAGGTGATTGGTGGATTCTTTCAATTTCTATTTTGCCCTCTGATTCTAAAATATCAGGGCAGTTTTCCTTGATAATTTCTTGAAAGATGATGTCTAGGCTCTTTTTTTGATCATGGCTTTCAGATAGTCCAATAATTTTTAAGTTCTCTCTTCTGGATCTATTTTCCAGGTCAGTTGTTTTTCCAATGAGATATTTCACATTTTCTTCTATTTTTTCATTATTTTTGATTTAGTGTTACAGTGCCTTGATTTCTCAAATTGTTACTAGCTTCCAATTTCTCCATTCTAATTTTTAAGGAAGTATTTTCTTCAGTAAACTTTTGGACTTCCTTTTCCATTTGGCCAGTTTTGCTTTTCAGGGCATTCTTCTCCTCATTGGCTTTTTGGACCTCTTTTGCCATTTGGGTTAGGCTATTTTTTAAGGTGTTATTTTCTTCAGTATTGTTTTGGGTCTCCTTTAGCATCACTCTCAGTTTTTCCTCTACTTTTCTTACTTGCTTCTCAAAATCCTTTTTGAGCTCTTCCATGGCCTGGGACCAATTCATATTTTTCTTGGAGGCTTTGGATGTAAGAGATTTGACTTCATTGTCTTCTTCTGGTTGTATGTTTTGATCTTCTTTGTCACCAAAGTAAGATAATATAGTCTGACTCTTTATGTGCTGCTTTCTCATGATCTCGGCCAATTACTTGAGTTGTAAACTCTTTGTTAAGGTAGGAGTCTGTTTCCAATGAGGAGAATGTACTGTCCCAAGCTTCAGGGGTTTTGGGCAGCTGTTTTCAGAGATACTTCTAGGGACCTGTAAATTTTCAGTTCTTCCAAGTTGCTATGTTTAAGGGCGAGGTGTTTACTCCTTTCCTGGCCTGTGCTGTGGTCTATGAGCATTCTTTTCTGTCTTGGAACTGTGAGGAGGGTTTCTTCTCCACAGCCTCTACAAGCTCCACCACGCCAGTGCTCCTCCTCGCCCCAAGACCGCCGCCACCTGGAACTGTGACCCAGATCCGAGCACAAGCAAAGCAAGAGATTCCTGCCTCAGTACAGGCAAAGAGATCCCTGCAATCCCCCTCTGATCAGCTACTTGATTCCCTCTTAGTCTGTGGGCTGGAAGCTTAGGAGGCAGCCACGGCAGGCGCTAGGGACTTGCGGCTGAGACCTAGCTTCTCTCTTGCTGTAGTCACAGACTTTTCCCACTGACCTTCCAAGTTGTCTTTGGTGTTCGTGGGTTGAGAGGTCTGGAAACCGCCACAGCTGCCCATGATTCAGTCCTCTGAGGCCTGCTCCAGGTTCGCTGCAGTCTGCGTGCCCACTCTCTCTGCCCGGCGCGATATGCCTTTCTGATCAACCATTCAAGCTGTCTTTGGCTGGAAATTTGTTTCACTCTGTCTTTTTGTGGGTTCTGCTGCTTTAGAATTTGTTTAGGGCCATTTTTTATA